ATAGGTGATTATTATATTTATTCTCATGATAAAATGATGAAAGGAAAAATAGAGACCGGGCAGGGATATGATATGGGTATTGGTGGGTGTGACCAGTTGTGTCCCACGGCCATGGGGCTTAGCTTGGTTACACTGTTTTTCCTGTCCGTGTCGATTGAGGACCGTCCATTGCTGTGGATGGTAGTCAGGTCATAAACTTATTTATCCTGAGCACATACTTGCTTATGAGAGCGAGAATGCTCGTTATGCTCTTGTCGTGGGTTCTGGCTCTTTCCGGACCAACTAATTAGAGGCGGGAAAAGGTGGAGGTCTAAGCATCATATTGGGACCGTATCTCAAGTGTGGGGGCTTGGAGTCCAAGTTTGGATAGGGATCTGGACCCCTTGACAGGAGAGGAATGGGTTGGTCTTGTTTGTGCCTGGGGTACAAATAGAGTGTGTGTTTCGGGGTACCCAGCTGGGATACATTGGTTCACGAATCGCCATTTCCGTGAGATGGTACGATTTGGCTATGGTCTAGCACCGTAATAAGAACTGGAATATGAAAGGTGGTAAATTGGTTCTGATTGCTCAACCCTTGCTTGAAAGTAGAACATGTGCTTACCTCGAATGGTTAGCTAATGAAGTAATTATGAGCTGCTAATTAAACTTGATCTTAATGACGTACTTGTAGTAATGCTTTTCGCAAAAAAAAAAACAGCAAAACCATATTGCCTATGATACTCCTTGGAGTCGAGAAACTATTCTCACTAGTCGGGTAAGTCTTACGAGTACATTATGTGCTCAGGGTTTATTTTACCATATTGCAGGTGCAGCTTGAGGAGTAGCTCTTGTGTGGAGGATTCTTCTGGTGGGCACAGACGGATCCTTGTATCGTTTCCGCTAGATGTTTAATTTTATTCCGCTGTTTAATTATCGCACTCTGAACCCTAGTATTGTAATAAATAATTTCCAAAAACTCTTGTTGTATGAAACGGACTAAGTATTGTAAGATGATACTCATTATTGGATGCTAGAGGTAAAACGTGGATTGATTCAAGTTCTCCCGTGGGGTGTGCTCGACGGAACTGTCCGATGTAGCTAACTTTCGGGGTGGTTAGTGTCTAGTGGAAGACGAGCGCCTCGGGAAGCGTGTTATTTTGGGCGATTCTGCCACATTGCTCAACCTTGGTGGTGCGCCCCCTCCATGGCTTGGGGTAAGCCCTACATAGTCGCTTGGTGAGACCCACGAGTGTAGGATAAAGCCGGGTGAAGCCACTATTTTTAGTTCTATCCCACCTAAACCTTTGGAGAGCAGGTTTAAGGGCTCCCGGGATGAAGCCATTTCACTTTATCCCGTTTGGCACAAAACGGCTCTTGAAGCCGATGGAGAAGTCGCCAAACGAAGCTTTAATGTGACACCACTTCAAACGCTAATGTTAACAATAAGAGAGGTTAGTTGAACTATGATGTTGGTTACACGTCAACATAGAGCATAAAAAAACTATAGAAATATTTTTTAAAAAAATTATTGTAAATTTATGTGATTCCAAAAATCTGATTAAACCTCAGAAATTTTATTTTAGCATAGAAAAATATGGAAATGATTAAAAATTCCTGAAACCGTGCTCTATCATGATGCATAGTTTGCAAATACTTTAATTTTGCATGGTCTGCTTTTGATGTTATTTAGTACTCCTACCGTTCTTATTTATATGTTGTTTTATCTTTTCTAAATACACAACTTTTATTATGTATTTTGACATAACATATATCTAAAAAAGCAAAAACGGCTTATAATTTAGGACAGAGGGTGGTAGTAATACTCTATTCCTCTATTATGATTAGAATACAACTTAGATGAACACTAGTGTCATGTATACTAGAAATATTTAATTTTTTGAATCCTATATGGTCATATTTTTCCTTTACCTCCATAAGTAAAGGCCGATTAAATTTGGTCTACTAAAGGCGAACTGTGGTCCAGCACAGCTAGAACACCCATGAGTTTTAAAAGGTAGATTTGATGTTTAGGTCTGAGAAACTGATCCCAAGCCCGCCTACAACTAGCGGGCCTTCATGGACAATCTCGTTTTTAGGTTTAGTTTGGGCCTTACCGGACTGGGCTTTATTTGCTCCGGTCAGAGGCTCAGAGCCAGATGCAAACTTTAATTTTCCTCATCAAACTTTAATATTGAGTTCATAGGAACGCTCGAAAGTGAGCAACAAGCTAATACTAGTTGAAAAAAAGAATGGCTTTTAATATTTTTGTATCTCTATATATTATCCCTCCGTTCAAGAGAAGGAATCTAAAGTTGCAAAAGTACAAAACAATATTTAATATTTTGCCTTAGTAGAATCATAATCTTACGTGTTTCCCCTTTATACGGCGAGTGTCGGGCGCTAGTCCAGCTCTCCATCTTTATCTAGTGAGAAATCATGAATAAAGAATGACAATATTTAGAGATCTAATTGAAAAGATCTGTTGCAATTTTTTTACTAAAATCTCTATTTATATCAATATGAAGGGATATAAAAAGTCTCTACGAAAGTATATAAAAAGTCTCTTGAAGTCCATCTCTCCCAAACGGTTGCTTTAGATAAATTGCCTACAACCTAGATAAATTGCATCGATTGTGTATCTAGATACTGTATTCAAAATACAAGAGAATTGAGTTTGCCAGAACGACGACAACAACAACACTATCAATGAGATATGTTTTTTTTTATAATTTCCATGTTGGTTCTCTATAAATTAAATTTTATCAAATTTTGAATAATTGGACTTTGGACAAATGTTAATTATTTCTTATATTTTAGGACACACAAAGTATTAACATTTATCCTATAAATTTGTTCACAATTTGATAGTTTTGATATTTTTTCCTATAAATTTTATCACAATTAGATAAGTTTGACTTAAATAGAACTAAAACGACATACATCTTCTAAATGGACAAATCTAATCTACTTCCCTTCCTCCAAAATCTCAAAGCAATCTAACGGTCTGTCCCCCATGATCTTGTCTGTCATCTTCTTCGTTGGTTCTCCTCTCTGTCTCTCTGTCTCTAAAGAGTGAAGGCCTATACTCTCCAATAACAACAATCGAATTGGTCGAGGGCAAAGTGAAGAATTCGCAGGTCGAGCAGATAGCGCTCTACGAGAGTGTCAACAGTCAACACTTATTTTATCTGTGCAGCACTTGTCCGGTTCTCCCCCGTTTCTCTCTGCCAGGAGCTGGTGCATGCACTCGATTATTCTGTTCTAGATCAGTTTCTTCTTTCTTCTCCGTATAACAAAATTTTCCTGGATGAAAGGAAAATGTTCAAACGTGTGCGATCAAATGATTTGTAGTTGCATATGCTATTTGTTTTGACGAACATGTATGTATACACGATATGTACTATTGTCCATTCACCTGAGGACATACAAGGGGCTTACAAACTAGGACCAACGACCAAGCGAAAAGGAGGAAGAAGGTGTCACATGGTCGTGCGAGGCCCTTTAGATAAGAATGGCCTCGTTTTCCTTTACACATCCTTTAGCTAGACATTTTGTCTCTCTTCGAGAGACTCGTGACAAACTTTTAGCCACGTCCTTTAACTCGCCCTTTGCTAAGTGTTCGCCTCCGAACGGACGATTTCGGTTGCACCAGTTGAAATATTTGCCAATCTCACGTACGACATTGTTTCAAAAGAAAATGATACTCTTCCAGATCGACGGTTTCTTTTGTCACACTCACACCTGATCGTCGACAAATGGTAAGCCTAGCTTAGACCCAGTTCGCTTGAACTTATCAGCCGTACCGTTTCAACGAAATAACAGTGTTTTTCTCATATAAAATTAATCAAGCGTGTTCGGCTGGTGCAGTGTACAGTGATTTTCGAATGGTTTTGAATGATTCAATAGTGTTCGGTAAGAGAGAATAAACTGAAACAAACTGTAAGTGTAGTATTAGCATCACCAATCGGCCGTTTTGCATACCAGGGGAACGGGGCCTTAATCGTCACTCGTCACGGACGACCGACACACGGCACACGGCACGCCGCCAATTCCTTCGTCCGGAAAGCCATCTCGTGAAGCAGGCAGGCAGACACTGACAGGTACCTCAGTCTAGAAAACTCCCAAGTCACTGCACTTCCACATCAATCATTGAGAAACGCATAGAAAGCCGCCGTCGCTGGCAGTGACGAGCACTCGCAAACAAAGGTAGCGGCGTTTTCTACCGAGGAAACGATAAAATTTTGCGCGGCCGCGATCAGCACGGACTCCACCGAGAAATGTCGTGCACGGGCGGAGAAAAAGCCCGTACGGGTCGAGAAGATAGGAGCCAGGTTACCGCGTGCTGCCCCATCCTCTGCAAGCAAAGAAACCTCGTTTCATTCGTGGATTTCAGCGTCAGATGGATCATGTCACCGTCTCAGACTGTGCAGCTTCGAGAACTATGCGTACGTGGAGATCGATGCACATAGGAGTGCACGTAGGAGTGCAAACCTCCATTTTGACTGACTTTATGCAATCGCTTAACGCATAAGAGAGGTCATCTGCTTTTCATTCAGATGACTCTCTATCTCTTTTTTTTTCATGAAGTCATTAAATTACTAATATGTCATAATATTAAATACAAATAAAACTCCCACCGAAACTACTCTAAAATCAAAATCAAACCCAGAGTTCCTGCGTAGCATTGCGTGTTTAAGCTGAAGTTATACTACCGTTTAAAACGGTACTTGTGGAAATTTTCTGCCAATCACGTACGTCACGCATGCATAGTTTATACTTAATTTCTTAAGGATACACTGCTCTCGTAGTTATCGTAGAGTAATTTACACGTAAGCCAGCTTATAATCTACGATCATAGCCTGTTCGTTTCGTCGTATACGATCGTGGATTCTCACACCACGATCGTATACAACGAAACGAACACGAGGAGAAAAGTGGTGCCATGACACATGAGATGACTAATTCTGCACTGGCAGGCCGGCAGGGCGCGATCCTCCTAGCTGAGTACCCATGCATGGGTCAGCGTGCAAAGACGTCGTCGCTCCCCGCCTTGACGGCGCCGAAACCCCCGCGGCGCGACGGCTTCATCGAGGAGACAGCGCAGGCGCCGCCGTCTGGGCCGAACTCGCACGGCGCGTCCTCGGCGATGGTGTCCATGGTCGCCGCCACGGCCCTCTTCCGCGAGGGGGCCCTGACGGCCGGCACCGCCCAGCCGACATGGCCTCCGGCGCTGCCCAGCATCTTACCGGCCCCGTAGCCGACGGCCTCCGCCGTCGCCGGCTCGGCCGCGACGCGGCGCTGGCACCTGCTGGACGCGGCCGCGGCGCGGAGAAGGTCGTCGGCCTTGTCCGAGCTGACTCGGAGGCGCAGGGACGCGGCGCCGGAGCCGCCGAAGCCGCGCCCCACGATGCCCGCGGACGACCCGGACGGCAGACCGCGCGCGCACCCGGACATGCCGCGCACGTAGAGGTCGCAGGCCGAGTCGCACGCCCGCGACAGCGCGCGCATCGCCGCGCCAAGGCACCCGCAGCCGCCGCCCTTCTTCATTCGCGCGCGCGTGCTGCGTGGACTTGGCTTCGGATCCAGGATCCCGAGAGAGACAAGGACGAAGACTGCAAGCTACTGCGAAGCTAGCGTGTCTATATGACTATGAGGCGTGCCGATGAGGCTCGCGGCACTTTTATAGAGCAGCAGCAGTAACAGAGGAGGTCCACGCGCGCGATGGCTATGTCGGCATGTGTGGGGCCGGGCAGTGATGAGCACAATGATGGCAACCTTGGGTGTTTCCTCCGGGCTGCCAGTAACGTACTCGTCTGAAGGCGGCAAAATTCCTCCATTTTTTTTTTAATCTGAATGCGGCAAAGTCCAGGACTCCACGTGCTGCTCTTGGAAAAGTAGCAGCGATTTGCTTCGTTTGATGGGTCTGTGTATACTTTGTTTAACGTTGGTTCGCTTCGGCTAATGGCGTGGCCGCGTGGGGCAGGCGGTTTTCAGCAGGGGCCGTACAGGGAAATGGTCGGAATTCGCGCATACTCTGCTGGAAGTCGAGAGGGATTTATCCACGGTTTTGGGGCAGGGTCATCGGCGCTGGCCCTATTCGTTTCCTATTCGTTTGCTCGTATACGATCGTGGATTATCGTTTACGGTCTGCTGAACACCATATCAATTGTGAAGCTGTAAATAATCCAGCAGTAAATAATCCACCAATCAATTGTGAAGCTGTTTGAGTTGAGCCGACCGAAGAGAACGGAGCCGCGGGCGGCGGCTGATGGGCCATCGCCCATTGGTGGCCGGATACGCTCACGTGTCAGTCGAAGTTGATGGTTTAGCGGTGCTACCTGATATCACGACTGTAGTAGTGTTGCCTGTAGGCTGTAGCGTTTCTTCAACGCTGGTACCCTAGTGTAGAAAAACAGAGTTGTCAAGTGTCAGTCGACCAATGGAAAAAAGAAATCAACGGCCCAGTTGGGGCTGTACTAATCATGCCACGCCAGAAATCGCCGTGAATTGGCCGCTAGTTTCGGAATTTTGAAGGGAAAGACTACACAGACAAATGGCACAGCCGCGGTCATGCACGAGTGACAGTTATTGGCGTCTAATTTCAATCGAGAGGCGGACTTCGATATCCGACAAACCACTTGACAAAGCCGGAGGGAGAGAGACGACTTCTTTGTGTGCCAATTGCCAAACCATTTCATCAGAAAAGAAAAAAAAATTACGTAACACCCTGAGATTTGGCACTCTGGCCGGTCCACCCACGGAGCTTAAAACCGTCTAACGAGCATGTTAAAGTTTGCTAAACCATTTAACTAACCTGAATTGTTTTGGCAAGCTGGTTTTGCCTATGTGGCATTCTCTAACTGGCAGACTAAGACACCGTGATGGTGGGGCCGTGCTGTCGGACCCGTGCGACCCCCAAAAATGGGATTCCCCTCCTTCTCTCACCCTCTCGGCTTGTGTCTCTCGCCCTCAAACAACTCTACTTTTCTACAGGTTACTTTATGTTTTGTCTGACTATTGTTTTTCTTACACTATTGAAGGCGCAAGCTTTGATTATTAATCTGTATTACTAATGACAAAACATAGCACATATGTGAGCTGTTTTGTGAAGTATGATGTAGATGCACATTGACAAACACTCATGCACTTATCCTATAAACACATTCAAAAGCTTATGTTGAACCCATCACGATCACCTATCACTTTAAATAATTAGTTGAAAAATATAAACAACTACAATTCTAATTGCAGTTCGCTAATAGAAATGTGATCCTAACATGCACTCTAACTTCTACTTAACTTGAGCATATGTAACTAGCTTCAGAATTTCGTATCTACACACCCTTCAATATACTAATTATTATAAGTCTATCTAAGCTACTTTCAAAATTTATTTATTATAACTATAGATGAGTTTTTCTTTCTTTCATGTTACTAATTACTCTATTCAATATGATGAGCAGCACTATCAGCTATGTGCGCAGATTGATAGGACTTGTCCACACGCCTCCTCCTCCTTTTGTGCTCCTCCGCCACCTTCTCCACCCCTCGCTAAATCCAAGGAGAATTCTCCTATGTCAGGGCAAGAGCCCTCGTCTTCATGGTATTCCGCCAACCTCGATGGCGCACTACCACCACCGCCATTGCTAATCCTGGACTCTTTCTTTCTCCAGTGAATTTACCCTCCTCCTTTGGCCGGCATTGCCTAACTTATTAACCAACCTCTCCCATCGCCGATGAGCGACGCCCCGCCCGCCGCCCCACCTTACCAACCGCTATCACCGGTCTGGTGGCCTCCGCTATAGCCCCTAAACCCTCAAGCCTGAAACCTAACTCTGACAAGTGGCGAGGTCTTTGTCTGCACCCTCATCTCCCCATATGTGTTCCTTGTCTCCACCTATACAATGGGATCAGATGGTAGTGGTGTGCAACCAAAAGCTCTAAGATCCGTGCGTCAAAAATTAAGCATTTTTGATTCAATATATTTAGCATTCATCTTACTTCCGATAATAACTGATGTGCAATATAAACATTGTGTTACTTGACTTTAATTCACGTGCCTAAATTTGATCGGAGAGAGTATACAATTTGGGTCTGTCTTCTGTGGCAGGTGACTGATGGTTATCAGTCATGTTTTGTGATGTATTTTTTGATGTTTACGTAATATACATGTAATGTTCACGAAGTACATGATGTACTATAATGTCGTGATGTTCACGTAGTATACATGTGATGTTCTATGATGTATTTTGTGATGTTCAAGTGATACACATGTGGTGTTCCGTTATGTTATGTGATGTATTTTAATGTTCAATTATGTTCTTAGGCTGCTAAAATACATGCGATGTTCTATGATGTATTTTATAATGTTCTGTGATGCATTTTGTGATATTCGGACAGTATACATGTGATGTTCTGTAAAATTTGACTGACAAGAAAACAAAATATTAGGCAACTGCATTTGAGTAAAACTCATACAATTTTGGTTGTCTTGGTACTACTATTGGTAGAGTCGTAGAATCACTCCGTATATCATGAGCGAGCATCACGACAGTAGACTTTTTTTTATCCGTATCCAATATGCATCCGTGCCGAACACGCACTGATCCTCGCCCCACCTCACCTCACCTCCTTCGTCGGCCGCCACGCCCGAATTTTTTATTTTTTAGCCCTTTTTTAAAAAAATCACAAATATGTCCCTGGAGGTATGATTTCAAAATCTAGACCCTTAGCCCGGCATCATCGATGGTGGCGCCGAGCTTACATGTCTCGGCGTCATATATTCTGGCGTCGAGCTCGGCGCCACGTTGGCGGCGTGGACGCTGACATGGCAGCCAGCTCGGCGCCGACCTTGGCGCCATGGATCTTGACGTCGAGCTCGGCACCAACAATCCAAGCGCGAAGCCCTCTTTTACGTATGGGCCCTCCCTTCCTTTCTCTCTTCCACTCTCTTTCTCTCTACCGAGCCATCACCGTTGCCGCACCGTCCCCGCCCGTGCCCGCGAGCCCGCACCGCCGCACCTGAGCCCACGCGCCCCGCGCCCTCGGCGGCCGTCCTCGCCCACGCCAACCCCGTGCCCGCGCCCGCACCCGCGCCCTCGGCGGCCGTCCCTGCCCGCGCCCGTGACCGCGGCGTCCTCGGGCCCTGCAGCGCCCGGCCGCGCCAGGTAAAAATTATGAATATGCAATATAGGTACTTAGTTAGCTTTGATTGTAATGTAGAAGTTCAATTATTTGTTATTTACTGGTTAATGTGATGAGTCAGGTAGTTGATTTAGTTAATGATCTAGTGAGATAGATATGTATATAGAGAGAAATATAGATACATGGGTACATAGATATAGTTAGATATGTAGATAGATAGAAATATGGATACATATGTACATAGACATAGCTATTTTATGAGTACACTATATATATACGTAGTTATTATCTTATTTACTTAGTTTGTAGTTAGAAAGTACTTATTAGGTACTATCTATCGTCTAATTTGGACTAAAGGACATGCGTTTCGTTATGTGTTTAAACTAGATGGACAACCTAGTGATCATATATCATGGAGGCACCGTTGAATGCGATCGCTATGGATATGTTGAGTTTGTTGACATGCAAAACGTGCCTGTGATATTCAATGATAGGCCTTCATTTAATGAGATGGTTGCAAGGGCTCGGGAGGAGCTGCATTGCCTTGGAGATGATGATGATGGCATTGCAGTTGAGGGTGTACTGCACCTAGGTTCTCCTCCCAACATCCTCACGCGAATGATTCCAATTGGGTGTGCAGATCAGTGGAAGAACTATGTGAGATCGGCTATGAAGAGCCAGCTGCAATATTTGGACGTGGTTGTGCATCGGGTGTTAGTTGATCCCATCCCTTATGGGTTTCCCCACCAATGGATCGACAGGCACACTTCAACCTTCCCGTCCCGAAACCTGATATGGATGTGGAGGTTGCACCTATGGTTCTCGATGCTCAATCTGCCCCCAATCAGGTAGTTGGAGATGCTTGTCAGACTCATAATGTTATGGCAGATCCTCCTCATGAGATCCCTTTAATACAAAATTATCCGAGTAAGTGTCTTATCCGCATGGTTATTGGGAGCTTATCCCTTTCCTTACATCCATTTCTTTCATTCTTTCCTCATTTCTCTACTTATGTTGCAGGAGACATTCCTAACAATGTGGATGTGCCCCCTGTTCCTGCGCAAGTGCACTGTGGAGATGGATTCCGTGGCTCCATTAGTGTTGAAATTATGAATGATTCAGAACCATATGAGATGGCAAGGGCTCTTGATTCTGATAATGATCGCCCTGTTGGAGAGCTGACAAAGAGTAATGTTGAGATGCTGAGGCGTATCTTTCCCGGCCACCGTGATCCAAGAGTTCACGAGTTCAGCGATCTTACTCATTCCGATCAGGCATGTGCAGAAGGACGTGATGATGAGCTCCTAGAAGCTCTTGAGGCCGGTCCTAACATGGTAATTAAGAATGGGAGAGTATTCAAGGATCTCCCTGCATTGAAGAGGTGGTTGCATGCGTTTGCAGTGATACGAAAGAGACCTTACAAGGTCTTACATTCATATGCGGAGCGCCGTTACACAGTTGTGTGTGACAAGGAACGCTGCCCATGGAGGGTTTGTGCAAGGAAGCAAAAGGTCACCGAAAAGTGAAATATCACAAAAGTTGTCGGGCCACCCAATTGCGCTGACCATGTGCTGACACTGAAGCATCGCCAGTTGACATCTATCCTCATTGCCAAGCGGTTGATGAGAATATTGGAGGAAGAACCCAACATGAAGGTTAGGACAATTATCAGGACCGTTGAGGCGTTGTATGGAGGTTATGTGATAACTTATGGTAAAGCTTGGAGGGCTAAGCAGCGAGTGTGGAAGATGATATATGGGGACTGGGAGGATGGGTCTGAGCAGCTGCTAGTACTTTTCAATGCAATCAAAGCGGTGAATCCAGGCATGCATTATGAGTACATCCCAAAACCAAATGCATGGAAGGATGGAAGACAGATATTCTTCCGTGCTTTCTGGTGCTTCTCTTAGTGTGTCGAGGCCTTTAGGCACTGTCGTTCCATCTTCTACATTGATGGTACGTTCTTGATTGGCAAATACTAGGGCACACTTCTTATAGCCATATCCTGTGACGCGAACAATAAGTTGGTTCCTTTGGCATTTGCTTTGGTTGAGAAGGAGAACAATGACAATTGGGGATGGTTCTTGAGGCTAGTCCGGATACATATGGTTGGGCCTAGCATGGAGGTTGACGTCATATCTGATAGGCACCAGGGCATACTTAATGCCGTGCGAGAGCAGATAGAGGGGTATATACCTTTGCACCATCGTTGGTGTACTCGGCACCTTACTGAGAATCTACTATGAAAGGATGGTGTAAATGATAACTTTGATCTGTTCTAGGAGGCTGCTCGATAGCTCAAGGACAAGTACTTTCAGAAAAAGTTGGAACAGGTCAGAACCTCATCAAATGCAGAAGGTAGACAATGGCTCACAGGTTTGATGAGGGATTTGGAGAAATGGATAAGAGCTCACGACACCGGTGGATGGAGTTACGAGTTTTAGTGTAGCAATATGGTGGAGTCATTCAATAAGTTACTATTGGAGATACGTGGTATGCCCATGAATGTAATCGTTCAATTCATCTTCTACAAGCTTGTTGCCTGGTTCAACGATAGACACGCCTCCTTTCCTCCTCTTCTTTATGCTCCTTTTTTGCAACCTCCTCTCCACGTCTCTTCTCCATTATCTCCTTGTCCTCTGCCTCCCACCGTAACAGTTCTGCATCCATTTTTTATCTTCAGGCTTGATCTCAGTGTTGATCTACTGCTCAAAATCACAGAGCAGTGGAGGGGTCTGCAAAAAATGCAATTGTTACAAAACAAAAAAATCATGCAAGATGTTATATGACACAAACATCAATTCCTCACCATCTTGTTAATGCGGCGCTGACGAAGTGTAGGCTCAAACGTAAAATTAGAACACATCCAATACCTCTGCCTATACGTGTCCTCTTCATCGAACTTAGCTACCTTGCAAGGATCGCCGTAAAAGCACATGGACACTGGAACACCACTAGGCAGAGATAATGGATCGAAGGCATTTCCGGTCATCCGCCCATAACTACAATTCAACCAATTTCGTTCTAACAACCGAAAGCAATTAACATTAAACCCTAAACCTAGGATTTTTCATTTGATGCACAACAATGAACCCATAACATAACAACACGCGCTGCGTTTACCTTACTTTGCTAGCTTTTCCACGCCTTGGCATCCTACGGTTGTATAATACAAATATTAAAAATTGCATGAAACCCTAAGTCATGACGATTCTTAGGTTAAAAAATTCGACTAATATATACCGAATCGATGCGAAAAAATTAGGAGGGGAGCGATGATACCTTGCTCTCGAAGATCTACGGATCAAATCAAAGTTTTCAAGGTCCAATATACCGATTCGTGAGGTAGGGCGAAGTGGTGAGAGAAAAATCCGAGAGGGAGGAGAAAAAAGAGGAAAAAGGCTCGAGCAGAAAGGTTAGGGGTCGGGTTAAAACACCACATCGGTGTCATAGATCCTGTCACCAAGCTGCGCCAAGCTTAGCGCTAGGATCTACAGCGCCGAGCTGCCTGCCAAGTCACCACCACGACTGCGTCGAGCCCAAAACCTTGGTACCAGCAACGATGACGCCGAAAAGTGTAAGCTCGGCGCCAGGATCCATATTTTAAAATCATACCTCCACCCGTATATTTATGAAAAATTTTCAAAAAAAAAAGGTTAAAAAAATAAAAAATTCGGCCGCCACGCTTCCCGTTATCCGCTACTCCACTCTACCTACCGCCCCCACGCTTCAGTACTCGGCCGCCGCCCAGTCCGCACGCACGCACGCACGGCACGAGCTCGCCGCGATGTCATGGCTCGCTCGCTCCATCGCCGCCACACTCTCCTCCGCCCACTCTGACGACGATGAATCCGAGTTCCCCTCCGGCGACAAGAGGCCGCCGCGCGCCTTCGACCCCACCGGTGCTGACACCGGGGAGTCCGACGAGCAGCCGGACACCCCGAGCCGTGGCGTCAAAGGCGATATCTCGGAGCTGACCGAGTCCCTCACCCGCCGATTCTGGGGCGTTGCCTCCTTCCTCGCGCCACCGCCGGTTGAGGGAGAGACCGAGGAGGAGGAGGAGGAGGAGGAGGAGACGGCCGCCGCCGCGGAGGTGCCTCAGTCCCCACGGATCGACGGGATCCGCAGTGACCTGGCGGAGATCGGGGGCAGGGTGAAGACCGGCATCTCGATGCTATCGAACGCCGGCGCGGTGGCGGAGATCTCCAGGATCGCGTCGTCGTTCCTGCCATTCGGGTCCGGGGATCAGGGGGAGGAGGAAGAGGGCGAGGCGGTCGGTGTGACCGAGGAGGTAGTGGTGTTCGTCAGTAACATCTCAAAGCATCCAAAGACATGGCTCGATTTCCCCTTGTTTGTTGATGACCGACACACGGATGGTAAGAGCAAGTGGCATCAGATCAGAGTGCTTGAACTGTTTATTTTGTTGCTTTGATTCATAGATGGTTTGAACCGATTGTTTTGGTGCAATTCTGTGCTCATTTTGTTGTTGTAGTAGTGGATAAGGGAAGAATTTGAGGGTTGACTTTAGTTGCTTAAGCTTGTTTGTCTACAATACAGTATTCTCTTACTACTGAAATTACGGTTTCTAGAGTGTAACTAAATCTATTCATAGTCATCATTGTTTATGTTGGAATTGAGTCTATTTTGCTTATATTTACAAAGGTTTTGCTGGGGAAGTGTTGTTTGCAACTGGTTGTGACGCTGCAATGTTTACCGTACTTTTGTTCAAATTCAAACTTGCAACTGGGTCAGAGTTGTTTTTGGAGTTGACAGTTATAGGTTCAACATCTGTGAGTTGAATGAGTTGACACAATTTTGTATGTCATTCCTTCATGTATGATTGATGTCCATTGTTCCTTACCATACCAGATTGATTTCCTCAGTTTCTTACCTACATTTGATATGCTTCTATGTTTTTAGATTTTGAACTGTCAGATGCACAGTATGGACATGCAGTTGCTATAGAGCGCCTTGTGCCAAACCTGTCATACCTCAGGACTGAGCTTTGCTCTACCAATATGAGTGAAGCGTGCTTCTGGAAGATATATTTTGTGCTTCTCCATTCGAAACTCAGCAAGCAAGATGCTGAAATTCTTTCAACACCACAAGTATACTCCCTCTCCTTTGTTCTGTTTTTTTCTTTCTAATTTATTTTTTTTATCATGTCTGTTTCTTGCTGTTCATGTGGACTACAATTATCCAAACAGAAGCATCTGCTTATAGGCTTGATTTGGAAGACAACTTACATAGATCTTGTCAGAAATAAAATTATTTGTTTATGTGTTATGAACTGTGGTCTTTTTGAATGTGACATATGCTATCTGGAAACCATTTTCTTACTCCCTATAAGCTGTCATTTTGTTTAATTGGCTTATTGTCTATCCTTTCTCTGAGGTATGAGCCAGTCAATTCTCCAGTGTGACTTTGTGAGTAGCCTGAGCTCAAGTTGACTAATACTAACCTGAGGCTGGGGTCAACCTTAGCTAAAATATTAATGGACCTCAATCTATGTGGGAAAAATTGGCTAGCCTGACTTTTATATATTGTATTGTATCCTAAGATGAGGTTAACACTATCTGTAGAAACTTAGCCTTCGGTCTTGTGGATCCATGTTATTGTACATTAGTACTACTCCATCCATTCCAAATTATAAGACGTTTTGGCTTTTCTAGATACATTGCATTTACTATGTATCTAGACATAGCGTATATCTAATTGCATAGCAAAAGCTATATATCTAGAAAAGCCCAAACGTCTTATAATTTGGAATGAAGGGAGTAATTGTTAAGGAATCATAAATCCAGCATGTATCATGACAGTTACAGATTATCTTGCTTGAAGCTTAAGTGACTTCTTTATCGCTGAGCTGATGGGAATATGGCAACAACAAAAGTTATAAGCAAAACTGCCCCAATTGATACTGTTGTATGATAAATTATGTGAGCACATAAAGCTTGATGAGTACTAGACAATGTAGGAACACAAAATTTGATGATTACGCTCGATGCAAGTGTAATCTTCATATGTGAAGTTCATTGATCAAGAACCATTTGTATGCCCATTTCCAAGTGGCAGCTCTTATCAGACTGAGTGAGATTCAGGACATGCATGTCCAACGTAGAACTATTTGTATGTCCATTTCCAGGTTGTAGCTCTTATCAGATAGAGTGAGATTGAGGAGATGTATCTCCAACGTTGACGGTTATTTTTTGTTTTTGATATTTATGTCGTGGGGGTGATTTTGATTTCTGAAAACTGAAGCCTTCCAAAGGTAGACCCCAGTTTTTCAAATGAAGTACTGCCTAACTAGTATTCTGGATATCCTTCATTAATTGCTTGTTTTCTCAATTAAACTAAACTTTCTAATTAATATAGTTAAATTTGCATATCATATATGAGAACACAAAGCATTCCATTATTAATATAACTACTACACATGCTAAGTCTATGAATCATATTTTCACATCATACTGCTGTTAGTACCATTATAATAAATATGGAAGTCGTGAATCATACCTTTCTTTTTGTTATTAGTAACTTTGGAAGGGAAGTTTCTTGTTGCACTTTTATTTCATTAGGAGCTTGAATCGTGCATCTATACTTGTTGGATTTTCCTCCTAAAATTTTCCTGTTTCACGCAGATCCTGGAAGCAAGAGAAGGACTATTGCAAAGTTCACCAACAAAGAACAAGCTGTTATCAGAAAACAGGAATACTACAGAACCTGAAGAGAGTGAGTTGTCATCGTCAAGCATCCAAAACAAGCATGGAGTATCTGAAGCGCCGTCATTCCAAGAACTAACTTCAGACCCTGTGCCGAATGTTGAGGCTGACAAGCATCTTATCTCAAGTACCGAGGCAGAAATAGTTGACAAGTCTGTAATTCAAGAAGAGTTGGTGATGAAAACTGAGGCCAAGAGTTTACCCACTGAGAAATCTAACCCTCACCCTGCGGAGGATGATGATGAAAAAGAAGTAGATGATTGGCTACAGGATGTGGATCATGTGCCCAGCAAAACTGGCAACACCACTGCAGTTGGGGAGGAGGAAGATGTATCCTTCAGCGATCTAGAGGATGACTAGGGGGCTGCTATCGTGCGAACCAGCTATCAGCACATTGCTAGATGGTGGCTTCATGAAGAAATGAAGAACACTTTGCTCTGTGCCTCTGGCTTTACCACTTCACTGTCTGGTTCTTTGATTGCAGTAGCAGAATCACGTAACAATGTCTCTCGTCGCGTCCCAATTCCAAGTTGTATCTAAGCAGTCTTATCTTTTTTCTCTGTACATAAAGTTCCAGACGCACTGACGCAGTTCTGCATTCCTGCTATATCGCTGTCCTTACGAGCTGCTTTTGATACGAGATTCTGAATGTAATATATTAGAATCATCTATAAGCTGTCAGATATCATGTATCACTTACATGTTGATATCTTCAGAGTTCCTTATTTTTAAGGAACATGATACATCATACATGTAATCTCAAGGATGAACTCTGCATGCTAAGCTTATGAGCGTTGAGCAGGATACACGTTCCATTTTCTCTTCGTTGCTGAGAGCGGTCACGCTCAACAGTAATTACAGTATCACACATCCGATTAACGGTGGATAAATTGTGCCCTGCCCTGTTCTTGGTAGTGCTATATGCACTTTATTTTTTTAAAAAAGAAGAAGATCGGAGTGCTATTTGTACCATCTCTCATTTCAAATATAGGCTGTTGTATGATTCTATTGATCTCGATCAAAAAACAATAATAACTTGGACAACTAGTTGTTGGTTACTATTATATTCAAAAGTACGGATACAACTGCTGGTTACTATATTCAAAAGTATGAATACAAATGCTCACAAGACGATAGCGTAGCTCACCATGTATGCACATGGTCGGTCTGTTCGCTTGTTATGGTCAGTCTGTTCGCTTGTTGGTTTCAGCCAAGATTTATCAGCCAGCCAACAGTATTTTCCTCTCACAACAAACCAGCACTAGTCGGACTTATCAACTTAGAAACCAATCAGCGAACAGGCTGCATATATATCGAGGATATATCATGGTCTGAAAATAATAAAAAAAAGTGCTCGTACGCGTTGTGATGATGAAGCATTAGAAGTGTTCGTACGATTTTTCAGAACGGAACACAACCTGTTCTTCTCTGTACATTTTGCATTAACGTTACAGGAAAGTTCGTTTTCACAACAGTATGCCGAAAAGAATTCACTGTTCCGAATAGGATTGGACCAATCAAGGGCAAATACAGTGATACATTAGCTTGACACAAATCAAGAACAATTCCACTGGTACAGACTGTCCAAAGTGCTCACAGGCGGACTAAAATCAACTCCGCAATGCCGTGTATGATATTGTTCATCAAGATTCAAGAATGCTCTTCCTTGGCCACACCATATTCCTCGACAAGCTTCGTCACGAGTCCCATAAGGTCGACAAATGAGCTGAACGATGCTCGCAGAAACCGGGCCTCCACGGCTGCAAAGTGCCTGAATTCCGAAAATAAGAGGACTTCAGTCTTATGGCTTGACACAGCAATGCATAGACAACAGTTAGAGATGACAGAGCGGATATACTAACACGGCCAGCTTGCTGCCTGACAGAGTCATCTCCCTCTTCACCTTGTCAGGCTGCAACTGCAATATAAAGTTGCAAAGTCGTCGGCAAAGAGAAAACTGGATGGGTTCATGAAGTACTAGTAGAATACAGCTACTTTACCTCCTTGTCAACTGCTAATGTTTTGTAGACTATGGATGCATTTTCCTCAGACCCATAATCAACTTCAAGGTTACTGCCAAACAATATGTCAGTGTTGCACTGTGCCTCGTACCCAGAAATCATTTACGGCAGAAACAAAATGCGCAGTAGGGCAGTAGGGGTAACATGTATCAAGTCATTGCATTTCTTTTTTGACACGTCAGTAAAATATCATCTCAAATTATCATCAGAGCATGGTGTCGAGGTCAATCGGGGAACCAAGCAAGCTATGGATAGTGATATCTAGTTACCTCTGGTCCCTCGATGTCATAATAAGGATGGACTTGCCAAACAACACCTACAGGCTACCAATTCCCACAAGCTCAGTCAGTTTTCCCCCAGCAATCATTCATGAAAATACACCACAAGCTCAGTCAGTTTTCCCCCAACAATCATTCATGAAAATACACACGGTAATACATGGAGAAAACACATACTATTTACTTCGATTTTGCATCAAAGAGGATGGTCTAGGCATTCATTCACACATAGGCATTTTCTGCCTAATAATAACGGTTAAGTTTCTTTTGAGGAAATCCGTCGAACAAGAAACAAGCATGACGTTGCAGAGTCAACAGCAGTCTCACCGCATAAGGATGCAAAATGGCAAATTGGCTGAGCAAGGAAGCTACGTACCTAAAGGGCATGCAAATCTGACTGCATCGGCACACGGCCGACCAAGGATAAAAGGGAGGGAGGACTCACCAGGTGAAGTCCCAGCCGCCGGAGGAAGATGATGGTGGAACGGAAGCGGCAGCCATCGCGGAAACGGGCGGCCGGGCGGGCTGGGGCGCGAGAGGTCCACACGCCGGTCGGCCGCCTGGCTGCAGCGCGCGAGGATCGAGTTTTCGAGGCGGAGGCGGCGCTTGGAGTTGGAGGCGCCGTGACCGTGATGGAGGGGAACAAGATCCTCTGAAGCCAAAGTTTTTCGAACCGGACTGGAGATCGAACCTCATTGGTCCAACCGTTAAGAACCGATTGAACCGCCGGTTCAATTTAATTGAACCGATTAATCGAACCAGCCGCAAATATTTTGAACCAGTGCATATATATATATAATTATATAATTGACAGACAGAACAATATAATTATATTGTACAACCATAAGGACAAGGTTCACACATCATGAAAATATAGGATGACATATTGACATGATCTTAAATTCAAAATATAAAGTGTGTGATAACATATATAGGTTCATCTTTACACACAAGAGTGACAACTGACAAGATACAACCATAAGGTTCATAGCAACATAGTTTCACAATCACAGGTTCGTAAATTCAAATATCAAGTGCGTGATGATAAGATAGAAACACATGAAGCATGGTACTCAATAAAAACGGATTGGATCCCATTCATTTTGAGCTTGAGGTTCTGCTCCTCCAACATCAACTGCAAATCCACCATAATCATATGTGTCTTCCTACCTGAGGTTTTGGTACTCCAGGTCCTCTATAATCTCATCACTGTCATCCATGGCATCAGCCTCCACCATGTCCATGTTAAGCTCCAAATCTGATTTTTTTACCAATTTAGATTTGATGGTATATAAGCAAAAAGTTGTATATATGTTAAACTGATTTCATAAGGGACATTACCATCACTGCTGCATTGTATATTTAGCTCAGACAGTTTAGTGCGAAACGCTTCTAGCTCTTCAGAGTTAAGGCAAGGTGGATTGTCTTCTAAAATCCAAGCTTCATTTTCATTTCCAATTTCTTCCAACATTATTGGGTCATAATTTCTAGTAGACAACTTGGACCTGATGTTTGAATTCACAGATATGTATTACTTATACAAACAGCTAAAAAAAGACAATGAATGCAAGGAACAAGAGAAGAGGTACCTTTGTCGTAGTCTCATATTACAATGCACATACACAATATCATTTAGCCTTTGATGCTCTAATCTATTTCTTTTTTTGGAGTGCACATGCTCAAAGTAGCTCCAGCTCCTCTCACATCCAGATGCACTACAAGTTTGGCTCAACACACGCAGAGCAAGCTTCTGTAAATTTGTTGCACTGCAGCCATAAGTTTGCCACCACTCATCTGTGTGAAAAATAGAATTTAGTGCTGCTGAAATGTGTGAAATGACATAATTAAGTGTGCTGAAATGAACTACAACAGCTGACTTACCAGCAAGCATGACATGACGATCATTTTTAGCAGTTGGACGCCCAAAATCACCTTCTCCATTTCTGAACCTTTTCATTTCTTTTGTCAAAGCACTTCTAAGGGCAACATCTTTGCCAGCATATTTCTCTATGACATCAAGAACTCCAGAAGTGAAGTTGTACTTGTCTCTAAGTTCAACATTGTATTGGTTATTAGGATTAAACCAAAAGCCTGCAGCATGAAGATTCTTATCAAAATGCTTATCCCAACGTGCATCCATGTATTCTAAGAAAGGCTTTACTAAGTCTTTCTTTCTCTGAAATCTCTTCACAATTTCTTCTCTTGCAGCATGGAATGCTCCAAATAGGTAGCCCATTGCAGGTCGCTCATCGCTATCCACAATTCTCAGCACTCGAACAATTGGTTCTGATAAGTGACAAACAGTAGCACAATCTTTCTAAAAATTTTGATCTAGCACAGCTTTAGTGAACTTTTTGGCTTGTGATTCCTTATAATATGCACAGTTTGTCCACTCATTGGAGACAACCATTGCTTGTAGTTCAGTCTTGTGCTTATATATGCTTTGCAATGCAATAAAATTAGTAGCAAAACGAGTTTGGGCTGGGCGAAGAATCTCATGACCTTTTGTGAACTTTCTCATTAGATACAATGGGAAGCAATGGTTGTACACATATTTTGTAATGATTGATGCATGAGCTACAGTATTCTTCACCAAATGCTCCTTACCAAAGTCTGACAATATCAAATTCACACAATGGGCAGCACAAGGGGACCAATAAATGGATGGGAACTCATCTTGTAACCTTCTACCAGCAGCGACCATGTTTGATGCATTATCAGTAACAAAATGAACCACATTTTCAGGCCCAACATGATTAACTACATCTTTGAACAATCTGAACAAAAAATCTGAAGTTTTGGAGCTATCAGTGGCATCAACTGTCTTAAGAAAGATAGTACCTTTGGGACAGTAGACCAAGAAGTTGATGAGGGTCCTTCTCTTTCTATCAGTCCATTCATCAGCCATAATAGTGCAACCAGTTTCTCTCCAATGTGTGCGGAATCCATCAACAAACTTCCTAGTCTCTTCAACACATTTTGCAAGATATGGACCATGCATCTGATTACAAAGCGGCGCCTTGTATCTAGAACCAAATGCACACACAACATCAAACATAGGCTGATAAAAAACAGAATTGGTTGCATTAAATGGAATAGATGCATCGAGAAACCATCTTGTCACACACATATTTGTCTTCTCTTTGACCGCTTCTCCTTGAAGAACACTCTTAAGTGTTGGTTGATCCCCTGGTCTAGTTCTAGGCTTGAAGTACTTTCCAACACTAGGAGTAGTAGTACCAGCCGGTCTTTTTTCCCTTTGTTTGATGCAGCTACAACAGGATTGGTATTGGAGACTTCAACAACATCTTCCTCTCCAGGTTCTGGTCCATATGGGTGTCCTTCCACATATTCCTATTGCATCTTCTTTTTCTTCTCATTCCAATCTTCAATATTTTTATACATTGTATGCTCAACCTTAGGATCAACCTTCTTACATGTAGCTATATTACTAGGCCATTTGGCCAAATTTTCCTTGAAACGATGGATTCCTCCTCCTAAGAAAGTCGTGTCACAAGACATGCATTTGATCTTTCTTTCTCCCTCCTTCCATAATCTATGTGCAATATCCCCATCTTTGGATCAGTTTTCCTTCTTGTCCTTCCATTCGTGGCGACCTCTTGGGATGGGGTTGAATTCTGGTTAGAATTTTCAGTCCCAACTAGAGTAGGAGTGTCCAGAAGAATCAAGCTGTGTGTGAAAACAAAAAAATAGTAAGAAAGTTATCAATTTTCACATGAATGAAAATGTTGAACTTAGTCAGTAACAAATTAACCAGATCTGGTATACTCTATTACTCTAGCACTAAACATACTAACAGAGGGCTTCACCAATGAACTCACTAGATCAAATCAAATAACAATAGGCTAATATATATATAACAAGAGGCTAACATACTAATAGAGAGCTTCAAGCATGCACAAATTAAGTTCTAGATCGAACCATCCAAGATTACTTCCATGTTCCATGTTCCATCATCGATGCTACTATATCTGACATCAAATTCAAACCTAAAATCTAAAACTTGAACTCACCAAGAGCCATGTTGGACTTGAGGCGTGGAGCGAGAGCAGAGACAACAAGTACTATCATAGTGAGTAAGTTAGAAGCAAAGCGGTGGCCACACAAGAAGACCGCCGCCGCCCCTTTCAAGGCGATGCGCTCAAGACGCTTCACACGGGCTCGGCGCCCAGACGGCGCGCTGGCGCCGCCACAGCGGCGCGCTTCGCGCATGCCGCAGCCGCGCCAGCAGCGATGAGCGCGCTCACGCACGCCGCGGCACGCGCTCGATTTCGCGCAGACGCCAAGATCGCGCTTCGCGACGCTCGCCCACGGCGCCCGTCGCCCGCGCATTTCGCGCAGTTCGCGCTTCGACGCAGCGACGCGCCGCTTCGCCGCTTCAGCGTAAAGCATGCTCATGCGGCGCGCGCGCCGCTTCGCCAAGCATAACGCCCGGCACCGACCTCGCGCAGCCACGACGCGCCGCCTCACGCGTCGCCGCCCGCCGCCGCCGCCAGAAGCTAGGTCTAGGTGACGAAAATGGCGGCCAGCTAGAATGAAAATGGGGAATTTTTCCCTCCCTCATGCGCGCCTAGTAACCTAAAAGAAACAGTGACACATTATTCCATTATTACCCCTGAACAGATAGCCTTCTCCTGAGCTACCAGAGGGTATTTTTGACTAAATAAAAAACAGCCCGGTTCACACAGAACCGCCTGGTTCACCGGTTCGACAAAAAACCGGCCGGTTTAACCGGTTTTTAGCGGTTCGATTGCATGGATGATCTTTTAAGTGAATCCAGACCGGTGTAGGCCCTGGTTTGGTCTTTTAGCGGTTCAACCGCGGTCCGGTCCGGTTCGAAAAACTTGGCTCTAAAGTCGAGCAAAATGACTCGCCTCTGCAATCACTGATCTAAACCATCCAATTTCTATCCAACCGTGAGCCAAGAAACGAACCAATCTCAGAGCCTGTAACCAGGCCCATATCAGCCCAATTGCTAGTGTCCACTAGTTTGACTCTGCCGTCCTCTTCCTCCTAGGTCTGAAGGGTCGGCGACTCGGCGTTCCCCTTCCCGCTCCCCTCGGAGGTCCTCGCCACGCTCCCGTCCCCTCCCTGATCCGGCGTCCTCAGCGTCAGCGCCGGCAGCAGAGGTCCCACCTCGGCAACACCGGCCTTCCCTCCCCACACCCTCCACCGTGCTAAAGCCATCGAGCGTCGCTGCAGACGCGCCGCCTTGTGGCTAGTTGGGACGGTGGCGTTCCCCTCTCTGCCACCGCGATGCCCGGCTTCGTGGCCGTAGCCCCTGGCGCCCTATGGTCAGGCCCATCGGTGGACTATAAAAGACTAGTGATGGAAGGATACTGTAATTGCTATTAGTTCTGTAAAGGGAATCCCTTCTGTAAATTGTTCAAGTGCTAGCAAACAATTTGTGACTATAGAAGACGTAAATATCGCCATTGTGTTGTAAATTGATTTGGAATGCTATTGTGAATGCAATGCAC